TAATGCTAGCATTGTTTATGCCTCTCTGCAGTGGGTATCTAGTCGAGGCTCATGTTTGGAGCCGCCTTGTTTTCGGATTAAGGGTTCAACAGCAGAGAATGGTCATTAGTCCTGATTCCCCAGTGGAATCAACAAGGTAATCTAGGGTCGGAAGGGTTTTGTATGGTTTGGATTGCAAGAGATATCATATTATCCGCGTTCCGATATAACTTTCCTTGCTTGAGAGTCAGTTAAGGTATTGGGTTTCCAGATATTAGGAAGGTTGTGATGGTTCTCTAGTGAAGAAAGTTAGCAAGTCAAGGATGGTATGTGTAGTCAGCCGCCTGATTGAGCAGTCTTTTAGTCCGGATCGGGTTCTAGGGAAGACCGTCTGAGTGACCGAGGTAGAGATATGGAAACACTACCCTGGGTTAGTTACTGCAGCAGACTTCGAGGACGAAGTCTAAGTCAAGTGGGGGAGATATGGAAACACTACCATGGATCTGTAGGACTACCTGTGTTTCTGTTTGTATGATTATGTGTATATGTTTGTTATCTGTTATATGTCAACATATCATGTTGGGTTGAGGTTGTACTGCTTTGTGTTGTAGCCAACAAATCCTTGAGCATTCCAGATATGAGCTGAGGGTCAGGTGGGGCAAGCCAGACTCATATTGAGGGCTCAGTAGAATTCCAGATATGAGATGAGGACCGGTTGATATGTCACACTCGTACTGAGGGCTAAACATTAGTATTCTAGTCTGATGACTGATTGGGTCAGGGAGCAAGCCAGACATAAGTTGTGGGCCCCGAGGGCAAGCCAAACATATGGTATGGGCTCAAGAGCAAGCCAAATATGAGTTGTGGGCCTGATAGGCAAACCAGACTCATACTGTGGGCTCAGGGGTAATCCAGACTTTTAGCTGTGTACCATGTACATGTTGTTATTGGTATATGATATATGTTTATATGCTAGTATTTGGGGAAACTCACTAAGCTTCGTGCTTATAGTTTTGGTTTATGGTTTCAGGTACTTGAGGACCGTGGCAAGGTGAAGGCGTGACCGTACACATCCTTGGTTTTACAACTAACTGGATCTTGGGAGACTCTGATTTTAAATAATGTTTTGGAAATAATAGTTTGTAAACACTTTTATCAATAAATGGGTCGTTTTGAAAGGTTTAAATTTTGTTGACATTTTCGGGATGTTACACTATTGGTACTTATATGCATTCATAAAATGTTTTAGATATGTTTATATGTTGTTCTAAGAAAAATATATGCATAGTTTTTGGAAAACAAAATTTTAAGCATCCTTATGTGCATACATATAAGATGGAAGATTGTGGGTGTCACTCATGCTACTTACAGGTGTAGCCAAATTTTATGTGTTGTTAAGTTGGTATGTGAGTATATTTTTAGATAATCCTCACGTTGCACATGTTGGGCTAGTTATCCCTTGTGTGGTATAATATGATGTTTCATAAGTGCATGGTCTATAAATGAGCAAAAGGGAGGAAATTATCTGATAGAGACCGAGAGGGAAGTGGGAGGAAGTTATCTCATGAGCTCGATGTTAACTATCTACTTTGGTGAGTTGAACTTTATGAGATAGACAAGGGTTGTGATTACATCCATGCATTCCTTATTGAGTTTGTAGAATTATTCCGTGCTTACCTATTTTATTATTATTTTTGTTGTTAATGTTTTCCAATCAATGTTTAGCCTTTGAGTGTCTTGGGCGATATGGGTTACATATTACCCATTTTGGTTGTTTTGGGTCATTAGAACCCTTTTATCTTTAGTTAGGTCATTAAATCCCCAACATCATCATCCTCGGGTGACAATCATGAAACCCTTTACAAATCGAAGATCTTGCCTCAAAAAATCTTATATTTGATCTTATAAGAACCCTTAGAGAGAACCCAATCTTAGAGTGCTAGAAATGGATTCAAAGAATGAGGAAGATGAAGCGGTAGTGGACGGTTACCACCATATGCATCGAAATCCTCGATCTGGTGGCGGTGGACATCAGGTTCCTCGATCTGGTTTCGTCGATCGAAATCCTCATTCTTCTCCTACAACTTGTTAGTTTCGATTTGCAGGTTTAGGGTTTGATCTTTGATGTTTGATTTTTCCGATTTACAGATTTGGGATGTCTGCAGAGGAAAGGAGTGGGATGGGTTCAATGATGGTCAATGGTGAGGCGGCAAACGATAGAGAAATGAGTGAAAAACAGAAAGCGAGATGAATGTGCTTGTGCTTAGGGTTAGGGCTTATTTTTTTAAAGGCAATAAATAATTTTTTAAATATAAACAAATCAATATATAATTAATAAATAAAAAAGAAATGAAAATGTAACACCCCAATTTTCAAATATCGATTAAATGATAAATAATCGTTCCAACATCTCCCAAGATCAATTATGAACTTACTTATAGACTAAACTACAGCGGAAGAAAAATAAAATAATATAAAGTCTTCAATTGAACAAATTCGGGAGTTACATCTTTGTGGAATTCCTCTATCGTCTTCTCGATCAATCCTTCTCCTTGGACTTTCCTCTCCCACTTGCTAAGTAGTTTTCTAGGTTGCGCACATTTAATGTATCTAAAAGGGTAAGCCTAGGGCCGAGTGAGTTCGTGTTGCACATACATGTCCATCACTTAAAAAAAACAAAAGGTTTTATCATATAGTTTCAATAAATCATACAACAAACATATCACCCGATGACATAATTTAGGGGAACGATTAGTTATCCAGAGAAAGAACCAAAGGCTCATTTCCCTTCTCCTTGAGACAACTCATCATCCATTGTACTCAATTATTTTAAATATCCAAGGAAATGAGTATAAATCTCAATTCTCATCACCGTCGATCACACACCTCCGTCATGCTCACGGCGATTAAACACCCCACCTGTTCCCACTAAACATGTCACCCAAAAAAACACACAATAGATAAATAACTAAAAATAACATAGCCCTGTCGAAAATACCTGATACCCGAATTACCCGCCTGATTTTTTCGGGTATCGGGTATCGGGTAAATTTTTCCGGTAATTGGGTAACCCGATTTTTTTCAGGTCGGGTAAAGGGTACGTTTGTTGGGTTTCGGGTATACCCGAATTACCCGAATTATTTTAAAAATTCTTTTTTTTTTCGTAGAGCTTGTTGGGTTTCGGGTATCAAGTACGTTTGTTGGGTTTCGGCTACAATTATCTTAAACATTTTAAACTTTTAAATTAAGATCTTTAAGTATTTGTTTTTTTAACATTTTATTAGATTAGATTAAGTTGTTAAAAAATTACTTGATATCTCAAGTATTATTGACTAAAAAATCTCAATGTTCAAAGCTTGAGTAACTTCGTTTATGTCTCGTTTGTTTATATAAACAAGACTAATAAAGCACGGCGTATTTATTTCATTAAATTTATTTTCAGGTGAAACTAAAAAAAAATTATATATTTCGGGTAGTACCCGAATTACCCAAACCCGACCCGATATCCAAATTACCCAAACCCGACCCGATACCCGAATTACCCAACCCGAATTACCCGAATTTAATTTGGGTCGGGTAACGGGTATTTTTTTAACATGAAAAACCCGAATTACCCCACCCGAATTACCCGAAACCCGAAAAAATTACCCGATCAACACCCCTAAAATAACATTTGCACACAAAGATATTTATCATAAAATATACTGTGAATAAATAATTGAAAAACCGCATATAAACCACATGATAAACATTTATGTGCGAGCAACCACAAAACACGAAAAACTCACCTCGTAACCGATAAGTCTTAACCGAAGTTTGTCGTGCTACACGCACCCTACATTTCACCAACAAGTTTTTTTAAGACAATGATCCTAGAGGACCTCCTATATGATTATCTTAGTTCAACTACCTATATGTCTCATTCGGCTAATCAATATTTTAATTACCATGCTAAAAATATCTTAAAGTTTAAAATTAATAATTTCCAAAATAAATAATTAATCAATTATTTATTAAATAAATTGAAGAGAGTTTTAATTATCAAAATTTCCAGGGTTGATCATGAAGCCAAATAATTAATCGAGGAAATGAATTAAAAGCTGCATGTTTATGAAATCACAGGGACTAATACTGTAACTTCATAATCTCTACTTCAACTTTCAAAAACACGTAAGCTTGCTTATAAAACTTATAACTGAAACCAACAACGTGTCCAACATGCAGGGACCATTTGTGTAAATGTAATTTCAATCGAAGGAAAAAGGACGCCAATATTCTAAACCCACAATTAATTTTTTTAAGAATCACCACAATGCTCTTAAATTAATCATTTTCTTTACAAAAACTCAATATTTTTTTCAAATTAACCATTTTATTGGCCGAAACAGAATCAATCCCTACCTTGAAACACATAATCTTAGGCTATTTATACAACTAATTTGAACTAAAACTAGAAAACATACATTGATTTGCTAGAACTCCAAAAAAACTTCACAATCCTACTCCATGATTTCTCCTTCCATTCTCAATGTTTTCTAGCAATTCCAGTGGGCATCTCATTCCATTTCTCGAGTCTTTTATAATGTCCAAGTTTGTAACATTTCTAGCTCATTCAAGAGTCCGAATTTATGACTCTAACCAAAGTGATGGGTTTTGGAATTAAAATTCCATAATTTCTCTATTTACTCCTAAATAATTCTTTAATCATAATTATAATAATACATTTAGACCATATATTTATATATTTATTTTAATTTGAGTTATCACAGAAAAAAAATGAAAAAGAAAAAGAAAAAGGGAAGATAGTCATTTTATGTCTGCAAGGGACGGAACATGCATCTTTTAATGATACAAGAGAGTTATTTTTGTAAATAAGGACTAAACGTGCGTTTTCGCATATTTACAACGATCGATTGTTGTAAATATCTTAAATCTAATATCCATCTCCACCAGTTGTTGAAAAATATATAAATTATTAATATGCAACTACAAAAGTGCAAATAACGGATTTGACACAAGGGGCCGAATCTAAGAAAGATCAAAACTATCCCATAACTACAACTAACAAATTTCAACCATGAACTTCATTACTTCATTACATGGTCAATCCAAACGTAACTATTTAACTACCATTACTTTTTACAAATTTTAACAAAATTAGACTTGGCACCTTATTAAAATAGAACAAGGCACAACATTATGCAACAAAAAAGGAAAAACCAAATGCGCCCAAGCGATCTATCAGCGTGGATCGCGTGTCTTCTTGCACGTTGAGTACTAATCGTCACCAAGTTATACGAATTTGGATACGTATACAAAGATGCTTGTGTATTCCCAAAAAGACCCCCATACATCATTTCCCCAAGCATCCCCGTTGTTGGACTTGTAGGGTTTATCAAATTTTGTGCTTGTTGTTGGTATCCACCGTAATTAACTTGTTCAGTCGGGCCCCTAACCACCCCAAAACTCGGACTCACAGGTCTACGTGGGATCGACATCCCCAAATCTAGACCCTTTTCTTCTGATTGAGGTTTTGTGGTTTGGCCCTGACTGTATAGTGGTACTAGGGTTTTCTGAGAGATGCCGTGTTTGCATACAGGACATTGTGGGTTGTGTTTGTTTGGGGTTTCGGATGAAGTATTTTGGTGTTGGATCCATTTGTATATGCATGGCCAACAATATAGGTGGCCACACAGTGTCACCACCGGATCTTGGACAGAGTCTAGACAAATATTGCAGTCAAAACCAGCGGAAGGACTATTCTCGGACTCGTCAATAGATTCTGATAATGATTTCCATTTGTCGGAAGTGGTTTCACTATCTTTGACAAAATTTGTTTGAGGGATGGTTTCTTGAGGATATTGCTCCATTGCCATTTGATTTGATTGTTTGATGTTGATATCTGAAATGTAAAAAAAAAAAAAAAATAAGGGTCTTTTCGGTTGAATGTAGTGGAATATATATAAAAAGTACATTTTAAAGAAAACAAAGCAATTCTCACATGATAGATCTTCTATATAGTTTCTTGTTTTTAGTGAAAATACCATTAAAGAGTTTGAGAGATAAGACTAAGAGGACCACTCACCACATGGCCCAACGTGCAAGAGTAAAGTTTAGTTATTTTGTCTAGTATAAAAGTAAAGTACAATTTACCCATATATTGAATCGAGGTTTTAATGTTCTTTTATAAAAGCAATAATACATTACATTTTTCTTAATATTGTTATACATATTTTCTAAGTTATTCCTTTTTTTAATTGATTTTAAATCATTATTAAAATAATTCGTATTTAAAATATCAGAACGATTTTAACTAAGATAAAATTTCGTACTTTTACTTGAATTTGTATCCCATACATCATTATACACCTTCTACCACAGGAATTCTCAATCCTTAATTTGCATTATCTTGTTTTTTAATAAAAAACCATTTTAAAATTATTAAATTATCTAGCCATTACAAATTTCGCTTCGTAAAAAAACAGAAAGCACCTCATTTATCATTTCACATAGAAGTAGAACAAATTCAACTATCAATAAAAAATTCTTCATTAAAAACAGAAAATGATGGCAAATCCATGAGAAGTAAAACTGAGTCAACACAGTGATTTAACTCGGTATGAACTAATAAACATGGATTTTAAAAATCAGAAACAGAGATGAATCATAGATACATAATATCCATCTCTATTTCAATATCTTCCCAAATGCAAATCTGGATTGTTTGAATTCGAATCGAATAACAGTAACCATAAAATTTCAAAGAAAAAGAGATAAAACTCACCGATTAAACGCTGATTTGGAGATTGTCTTTGAGATTGTTAAGATCGGTGAAGGCGGATTCGATGAGAGAAATGTTGGTTGTTGAGTAGATGAGATATGGAAGATGAGAGAAAATGAATTTGGTTTCGATTGATTTTATATAGTGAGAAAAAGGTAAGAATTTGTGAAATAAAATAATATAAAAAAGGAAAAGAAGAAATTAATAAACTGACGTGGCGTGGGGTTACAGACTTACTGTGCTGCTACGTAACGGCCAACGCGGTCTTCTAGCAAGCTTATCCAGACGACGTGGACCTCTTTTGCTTACCACGTCTTAATTATTAAACTAATATACCGTTAAACATAAAATTAATTAAAATTAATTAATAAACTAATAACTGAACAATTTTGATAGGTTCAAATATGTTATGTATATAGCATTATAGCAATAGAGTTAGCAATCCCAGCTTGTTGCAATGGAGATATTGGGTTTGCTTTTTATATATATATATATGTTCAAATAAGAAAAATAAAAAAGGTTGAGAATGAGGGAATCATTCTCAACCAATCATTTATCTAACTTGTAAACCTTAAAAACACGCGTGTGTCATTTTTTCATTAAGGGTATATGTGTAAATTAACTACTTTTTTATATTGAACTTACCTGTTCGTTGTAATCAGTTTCCGATTCGATCATATGTTTATATGGAGGATTTCATTATCAAGATTCTTTTCTTTATATCAATCGTTAGCAATTATACATATATTTTCCATTAATCGTGAAGTTCCGCATCTCTATTTCAGTTTTATTCTTCGTATTTAGTTTTCGATTTGATCTAGTCTGTATATCGTTTGAATCGGATATATCGGAGTTCATTATCAAGATTATTGCTTTACAGGATTCTGTTTTTTATATAACTCGTTAGTAATTATACGTTTTCTTGTATTAATCGTGAAGTTTCGTATCTGTATTTCAGTTTTATTCTTCGTATTCAGTTTTCGATTTGATTAGGTGTGTATATCGTTTGAATCGGATATATCGGTGTTCATTATCAAGATTATTGCTTTATGTAATTCGTTAGGAATTAGGCTTATTATTTTCGTTTATCCTGAATTTTCGAATCTATATTAGATTTGTATTTCAAATCAGAGTTTTAAATGTTATATATCGATGTAGTTTTTATGCTTTGAACTGAGAGAGATTGCTTAATTGCATCATCTGATCGAGCTGATTTAAGTTTTTTTTATTATGATTTTTATCGATATTTTATTATGATTTTCATCATCTGTCATGGTTCAGTTTGTATTTATATTTTATTATGATTTTCATCGATATTAACATTGTTTTTGTTGTTTTCTACAGATCATTTGGTTTATTATGTCAAATTCTAGTGTTATTGATGGTGATTTGGATTCTTATATGTGTGAGAGTGTTGAAGATGAAGATGTTGAGAAGTCATTTTTTGAAGGTATAGTTACTGAATTATTATCATGTATTGATATAGGAGTATGTTAATCTGAATAAAGTGTTGTCTTATTCATATATGAATAAACGTGTGATAATTGTAATTTCGTTTTATTCATATATGAACAAGTTATTTTTGTTTTATATTTTTTGAATCCTCATGATTTTTATGAATGTTTTATTAATCCATTAATAAGTTATGTTCATTTTATATATTTTTATGTCAAATCCTAGTGTTATTCATATATGAATGTTTTATTAATCCATTAATAAACATTCTTTTTTGTTTTATTCATATTAATTTCATGTATTCATATATGATTGTTTTATTCATGCATTATTGTTTTGAGTAAATTACACGAATGGTCCCTATGGTTTAGGGTAATTTACGTGTTTGGTCCCTAACTTATTTTTTTAACTCGGAAGGTCCCTACTGTTTGTTTTTGTTACGCGCTTGGTCTTTATCTCACCTAAAAAGACTATTTTGCCCTTGATTTTGTAACTTATTTAAATAAACACACCCCAACCCCAACCCCCTCACATTACCCTACCTACCATACCATTTTTCCGTATTTAAATAATAGTCTTTTTAGGTAAGACATGGACCAAGCATGAAACAAAAACAAAAAGTACGGACTAAGCGCGTAACAAAAACAAACAGTAGGGACCTTCCGAGTTAAAAAAATAAGTTAGGGACCAAACACGTAAATTACCCTAAACCATAGGGACCATTCGTGTAATTTACTCTATTGTTTTATTCGTATATTGATTTAGATTTATAATTTTTTAGCAGGTGAATCTTCAAGTTCAGTAGATGATGCACATTATTGTGGTGATGTAATTGGAGAACATGTCTATAAGCCAGATGTACATGTTCAACTTATTCCATTTAAATGTTTAATCTTCAAATCATTAAAGTTGGTCATCAAAATGTATTCTGAGTATGCTGAAATTGGTGGTTTTGATGTGAGACTGAGCATACAGTCAAGGTTTGATAACAAGATTATAAAGAAGAAACATGTTATATGTAATCGTGGTGGGAAACAGAAAAAGAAATCTTGTGACACATTGGGTACAAGTGGTGTTAGGAGGAAACGAAATTCAAATTCAAGAGTTATTGGTTGTCAAGCAAAGATTATATTTGAATCTGTGTATGGAACTCCAGATTATAAAGTTTTTCATTTTGATTGACTTCACAACCATCCACTTGAGAAGAGAAGCGATTAAAAAAAAGCGAGGCAAATGTCATATTCAGAAAAAGAGTTTATTGTGCTTGCTTCCACATAAAAAATACGTCCTACTATGGCTCATAATTAAGTTGAGGGCAAGTCTGAGAGGTGGGTATGAGTTTGTAAAGCCCAAAGTAGTTGGCTATAAAAATTTAAGGAGAGATATCAACAGGGTTATTGGTTATAAAGATGCGCAAATGATAGTAAACACAATGAATGACCGTCGAGCTCACTATCCAAATTACTCATTTGAGTTTAATTGTCAAGATGATGTTTTGGACAGTATGTTTTGGGCTGATGAAATGGAGAAGGCATTCTATGCTGAATTTGGTGATGTTATCTCGTTTGATGCGACTTTCCGAACAAAAGAAGTAAGTTATTCTATCTACTTTTTTTATAGCTTATTCATATATGAATATATTTAACTTTATATTTAATGTTCAGTTTTTATTGTTGAAATTAGTTTAATAAAATATTGTAACTAAATTCATAGATGATTATATTTATATTCACTTATAAATACATCAAAAATTGACTTTAATGAACATTTTTTTGTGTGTTAGGTATCGAATGGTTTTTGTTCCATTTACTGCTATTGACCATCATAAAAAATCGGTTACTGTTGGATCGGGGTTGCTAAGCAGTGAAAGCATTGAGTCCTACTCTTGGTTGCTTAAAGCATTTCTTAAAACTCCTGGGAAAGAACCAACACTTGTTTTAACCGATCAAGATGCTGCAATAAAACAAGCTATTGAGAATGTGTTTCCTAATTCAAAGCACCGATTATGTATGTGGCATATAATGAAGAAGTTAAAAAAAGGTATTATTTTAATATATTTCAAATATATTACATAGTATTTAGTTATTCAATAATGAATACACTAATTTTTTCAAATATTAGTATATTCATTTATGAATATTTATTGTTATTTTACTTATTAGTATTTATTCATTTATGAATATTTTTGTTTTAATACAGATATCAGATGATTCATTTACGAACACAGACTTTGGAAAAAGATTTTTGAAGCTTGTTTGGGACATTAATATGAAACCTGATGTTTTTTAGGTTAAGTGGGGTTTGCTTATGACGAAATTCAATCTTGAAGACACAAGATGGTTTAAAGACATGTTTACAAAACGTGATTCATGGATACCTGGATATTTTAGTGATATTCCAATGTGTGGGTTGCTGAAGACTACGTCGAGGTCAGAGAGTATGAATTCATTCTTTAATACATACTCGGAAAGTGGGAATTTACTTTTGAATTTCATGATGAATTACGACACTGACATTCAAAAGCAAATGAATACTCAACGAGAGTTTGATAAGGCATCAAAGAAAGCATCATATAAAATACAAACACCTCCAGAAATAGAACTACAAGCATCAAAGGTTTATACAAGTACATTATTTTTTGAGGTGCAAAAAGAAATATATAAAGCATGTTTTTTTTTTGTACATACTCATATGTTGGTATTTAAGATGGTTGGGAAGTTTACATTGTGCAACACAACAGTAAAAGCAAATTTAAAAATGAATTTAAGGTAATTTACTAGTTTTTTATGAAAAATATAATAGTATTCATATATGAATATGAGAATATTCATATATGAATATGTATTATTGTATATGATTAGACTGTAATATTTATATATGAATACTTACATATGAGTGTTGATATGAATATTCATATATGAATATAAATGTGTAAATTTTGTTGAAATTGTTTTTTCATTTTTTTTATTATGTTTTTGTATCAGGTTGAAATAAAAGTTGAAGAGAAAGAATTAAATTGCAGTTGTGAACATTTTAAGCGTATGGGTGTTTTATGCATACATGCTTTTACAATAATGATGAGATGTAGTGTTAAAGAAATTCCTGAAAGGTACATTTTGAAAAGTTGGAGAAAGGATGTGATATCAAGAAATTATCGTTTTAGTTCTTTTCAATCTGATTCAGGGGATTGTGAGAATGTGAAGCTAGTCAATGATTCATATTATAGTTTTGAATCATGTTTAGATATTGTAAGAGATGACAAAAAGAAATTGGCTTTGTTTGCTGAGAAACAACAAATGTTGTTGAAGGAATTTGAGAGTGATTATATATCTGTTGGATTGAAAAGCAAGACAAATGGTGAAGTCGTATGCAAGCTTTTGGGTGTTACTATTCCTATTCCATAAGAGATTAATATTCATGTTCCTGAAGTTCAAAGCAACAAAGGTTCTGGAATCAAGAAAAGAATTCCAAGTGCAGGTACAGTAGCATATGAAAATTTTAAAAAAGAACATAGAATGTGTTCAGGATGTGGAAAAGGAGTTCCACACAATTTATGTACGTGTCCAGAAAGAGTTGGAACTGCTCAATCAGCAAAAGACAGTTAGGGATTACTTTTATGTTTTTTGGTTTTATTCATTTTATGAATATATGCAGATAAAAACAATAAACAATAATATTCATGTATGAATAATACACATTTATATTGATATGGTAAATTGATATGTTGAAATATATGTTTTTTTAAATGAATATATCATATTTGTTTTTTAAATTACTATAAAATAAGTTATATTTATATAGTAAATTACTCATAAATGAATAGATAATATGTGGATTCATTTATCATTGAAGGTGTTATTATTTACATATTAAAGGTAAATGAATATATCATGTTTGTATTCAATTATGATTAAACTTAAATAAAATTGATAAATGAATATACCATAAATGAATACAAATATGTAAATTTTACTATAGTAATAAATAAGTTATATTCATATATGACGTTTGTTATATTCATATTTGAAGTTTGTTATATTCATATCTGAACTTAAATGGATATATTGGTATTCATTTATGAATAAATAGAAATAAGCAAACTTGTTTCTATTACATAGCAAACTATTTAAATGATGTTCAATAACATTTAGGAAACGATCTAAAACTTCTTTCACAGAACCATCTTACATGTCCTCCAAAATCATTCAACTTCAACAAAAAAA